CGAAGAGGTTAATTATTTCAGTCTATAGCTCCAATTTTATGTATCATTTTAACACCAAAGCTACCGAGTTCAATGCAAACCTGTTCTAGGAAAGAGGAGCAGGTTGATGTACCAATAAAAATAATTCTGTATTATAATAATTGTCAGTAAATGTTGCAGTAAAAGAATTGTTGATGATTGAATATAATCAATTCAATAATCAGCAGTATTCCAACAGCCTAATTTATTATCTCCTCGAATTAGCGACACTATGCAATGATTAAGTTGATCTATCAATTAAATCAACTCTGTATTATAATAATTATCAGAAAATGTTGAAGAATTATTAGTAAAAGATTTATTGATGTCTGAATGACTTTAAAAAGAAACTCGAAGTCTTCTGTAAAATTGACTCGATAGTTTTAATATTGAAGCAAAAATTCCCTAAACAATCGATACAATCAGTATTCTCATTACTCCCTAATTTATTATCTCCTCTGTCTTTCACCACTACGCAATGACCAAGGCTGCGATTCAAAAAGCCATATCGATTCAAGTTTCATTGTACCTCTCGGTAGTTTTACTGTCAAGACAAACCCGGTTTACCAATAATTCCACGTGCTAAATACACCCAGATAACTTTACCCGTCTCTGGAAACGAGCTACGAGGACGTAGACCGACAGCGTCCTTCCTCTATCATCCCTTTTCCTCGAAGGGTGTCCGTCGAAACGCTACGAACGATCGCGGTGTTGCGATTCGTTTCCTTCTTCATTTACTCGCTAATGCAATGTACACGAAAGAGATAGAGATAGAGATAGAGAAAGAGAGAGTGAGTGAGTGAGTGAGTGAGTGAGTGAGAGAGAGAGAGAGAGAGAGAGAGATACATATGTATATGTATATAATTATGTTATATAGATATAACCGCGGTTCCGAAATGAAACGGAAGGAGAGAACAGAAAACACATCGTTGTTCGCAATTGCTTGAGTAAGGATATGGATCGAGGGATCGCGGTTCACCGCGTCGACTCTCGTCGACGTTCACGTCGCGACCGATTCACGGGACCGTCCAATGGTTTTGGCGGTTCTCGTGTTTCGTTTAGTGTTTTTCGTTAATTGTTTCTTTACCTTTAAAGCCGGCGTGGTTACGCGCCGCGGCTTCGGATATGATGAGTGCGGGGATATCTCTTTACGAAGAAGGAGTGGAGGGCTGGGGTGGTCCTAGGGGGCCTTCGTCGTCGTCTTCGTCGTCTTCTTCCTCTTCGTTCGCTGCGCGTCTAGCTGCTCGCCCGGTCGACGCCGACGAGGAAGAAGCTGGCTCTCGTTCCTCTCGAAGCGACTTCTCGAACCTAATCGTTGCCCGATGAGCGATACTACGCCTCGATCTGATCCTCCGGGGTCATTATGTCCGGCGCCATCGATAGGTCCTCGGCCATGTCCTCGTCCTGGCCCGAGTCGTGCCCGTGACTCTCGGGATACTCCCTCTCGTCCACCTGATCCTCCTCGCCCTCTTGCTCGACAGGCGCGTCGACCAGCTCCCGCTTTATTAATCTCGTGAGTTTACCCCCCTCCGGGCTCTGGCCCTCCTGCTTTATGTGCACGGCTGGTTCATCCAACGGTGACCTGTTGATTTCAACAGGGAACCCAAACGTTACGAGGACTACTTTTTGGCGACGTGAGGGACGCTGGGAGGTCGTTGGTTAAGGGTGGGAGAAACTATTAGGCGTAGAAATTAATTCTGAACTTTTAGTTTTAATTATTTGTAACTCTTAATAGAAGTGTTTATTCTGTGCTTTTACTCTTAATTATTTGTGACACTAAACAGAAGTATCCACTTCCCATTTTGTTAGATTATAATACTAGCCTCCACAGTAATAAAACATGCAAATTGTTTCTACAACTATACATGTATATCTTAATGAATAAATGAGTTACACAGAATTAATTTCTGCACCAAATACCTCTCTTCTGAAATTTGTTTATATTTACCCATTCTTGAATTGGACTTGAACATCCTACATATTTGGAAAAATTTCTCTCCATTAAATAACTATCACTGCCTAAAGAACCCAACACACTAAACAATTCAACACCCTAAAAAATCTCAACAGTAGAAAGTGGTCATTCAATTTCCCTATGCATCTCCCTATGCATTTCGCCAGTCGAAAATTTATTTCATCTATTCGAATAAGTTGCCAAAATTTCTCTGGACCTCGAGTAAAACGTGTACGTTGACAGAACCTCAGGGAAACTTGCTCACGAATGAAATTGCTTCGAAACAACAGAAATTCCTGTGAAGTTGACCGTAAGAGTTTGGGAAACAGCAGAAGTTTCTTTGCGAAAACGGTTCGAAACAGCGGCGAGTTTGCAGCGAATGAAAGTGGCCGAAACGATAGAAACTTCCACGATGGGAGGCTGGTTCTACTTACATCAAATCGTTGTGTGTTAACACATGCTCCTTGTCGGGACTCGTCGTCGTCGACGTGCACATCGAGTTGCTCAGAAAGCCCATGTTCGAGTCACCGAGCGCCGCCTGGAAATACTCAAATTGCATTAGATGATTAGTCAAAATAATCAGTACGGTTACCTATCGTCGAGACTACGAAAGATACGTTAATTTTAAAGCGTAAGTAGATAAGCAGGGGTTGAAAAGTATTTCAAGAACCGGAATGACGTTGAAAGAATTATGCAGGGTATCACAAACCAGTTACTACGATTTTTCAGGGAGTCCTTGAAAAAATATGTCAAAGAGAATTTAATTGGTATTATTTAACTGTTAAGAAATTTTAATTTGAGAATTAGCAAGAGAAAATTTTCTTTGGTAAGAAGGTAGACCATGACATTTTAAAGTGAAATACATATTTTTAAATTGATGGTTTTGTAGGGGTCATGGATACGAATTTATTGAATTACTGTATTTCGATCTTGGTATGCCATTGAATTAAACAATTGAATTTAATTTACAAATTTACCAAGATGTTTAAAGTTTTAACTATTTCTGAACACAAACCCTACCACGACCGATCAAATAACCATCTTCCAACTTCTGTATACAGTTCTCATATACAATATATAAATTATATACAATTGTTACATGTATTATTGAATTTACTATCACGTGAAATACTTTTTCATCAAATTGAAAAAAGTGTTTCTAGAACATTTAATCGATCACGATAGAAATAGATGTTAAATAAAGGTCGGTAGGCTTAATACTAAATGAATTCATCAGAACCTTTATACATGTAACATGTACAGTTATTTTTCGCCCCTTTTCAACCCCTGCCAACAGGTGCCATCGATCCTAAACAGTTACCTGGAGATTGGCGTTCAAAGCATCACCGTACATGGTCGGGCTGTGCGTCAGGGTTGGACTCTTCGACGGCACACCCCTACATATCGACAGAGAAAATTCTATTAGTAATCGTCGAAATTCGCCTGCGAATATATTCCCTGAAACGTAAACGCGTGTATGTAAGCTCTTTACTATTTATTTATTTATTTATTTTTTAGTTTTGTGTGAATGTATACGGGTGGAATAAATTTTCGAGAGTAAATTCGGGGGGTTGGGGGTTGTGGTGGTTCTGGGCAGAGGAGGGGGTTGGTTTGGTCGGGTGGGCGAGGGGCGGGGGGTAAAGATATAGAGCTTGTTGTGTACAATGTGTGCACGTGTGATCGAGTTTTAATATGTAAAAGGTATATAGATATAGAGAGAAAGTGAGAGAGAGAAAATGGAAAGATAGATAGTAGATAGATAGTTGTAAAGAGAAGTATATATAGTATGAAAAAATGTAAACACGTATATATATATATTGTATTAAAAATGAGATAAAAAGAGAGGAGAAAAAAAGAGTTTCGAAAACTCTTACCCGTTCTTTTTCTTTTACCAGGTTTCACTTAGCTCGTCCAAACGATCCGCTCTTGGCTGAGATTGAGCGAGATTAGATTTAAAAAAGTGTCTATGTGTATATAATAGAAAAAATTCAAAAAGCGCTCCCGTTTCCGATGGACTTCTTCGTTTTTGGCTTCGGAAACGACGTCGTGGCTTATGAACGGCTCCGAGGCTTACCTGTGTGCTTACCTCCGTACCATTTCGTCCGAAATCGCTTGCGTTTCTGTTTTTTTTTTTCTTTTTCGGAACTCAACCAGACCGAGTGACGTACTTCTTTTCAAAGGATCGAAAAGAAGCACCGTTTTGGCTCCATCGCAAAAGAATCCACTCCGAGTCAGGCAAGAATCGATCATCGGTGACTTTCGAAATAGAAATTGCGTGGAAATCTTTTGCAATGGACGGTTGCATGCGAAGGAAAATGTAAGAGAAAAAATGTATACGACGCTTGGAGCCGTTCATCAAGTGACTAAGAGCGTCGAGAGTAAAGAGAGAGAGAGAAAGAGAGAGAGAGAGAGAGAGAGAGAGAGAGAGAGAGAGAGTGAAAGAGAAATATGGAGAGGAAGAGTTAAGTACAGATAGAGAGTGTGTGTGTGAGAGAGAGAGATAAAGAGAGAGAGAGATAGAGAGAGAGAAAATTGTCGAAAAACGTTTATAAAAAAGTTGATTAAAAAAGTACGAGAAAATTTACCAAGGTGGTTGCAAAAGTTAGTAAACCGTGAGGAGGTACCTGAGTTAGAAGAGAGTGGTCGTAGGCGATGAACGAAGAGTATATCCGTATCATCCGAGATTGCAGTTGTGACGCTTAATTTACACAATTTACACATGCGCGAGTAGCCCTGACACACATGGTCACTCACACCGAACACCATTCTCACGTCGAAAAAGCGTTCTAAAGGCGTAACAGAAGAGGAAGAACCAAACACGAACGCCGGTGAGGAACGAAAAAACGAAGAAAAAGAAAAAGAAAAAGAAAAAAAAGAAACTACAGTGAAGGGTGAACGCATAACTTAAACAACGCTTTCTGTCGTCGAGACATGGATCGAAGAAACAAAAAAGAAAAAAAGAATACGAAAGCTTCACCTTTCCCCAACGAGGAACTATAGGTCGAGTCGCACTTTCTATCGCTACGCTACAGCTTGCACCTTAACAGCGTGAAACAAAAGAGAGAAAAGAAAGGAAGAACCCAAGGAAAAAGAAAATCAACGCGACAAACGCTTCGTTACGAACGAGAAATCGTTAAAAAAAAAAAAAAAAAAAGAAAAAGAGAAATTCAGGGATGGGCGAAACCAGCCGATAGCGAAACGGAGAGATAAAGGCGGTAAAACGAAACGTTTGTTCACGCAAACACTTCCACATTCTCCCAAGACACTGCAAACGCCACTACGTAAGCACCATACAATTATAAGCACAGTGTTTTTCAGTGGTAGGATAAGTCTTACGGGGGGAGGGTGGTTTTTTTCCTTATCGTTACGTTTTTTTTTTTGGTTCTTAAATATATTTCAGGAACGATCAGATTGGGATCCTTGATTATCCATGCGAGCAACCACTAAACACATCAGGGATCCTGCAGCGTGGACCAATCGTCCTGTGGCTGGACTCCTGCAGGATCGTTTCGGGATTTAAGCTCTCTCGGGTGTGCTAGAGCCTCGGGGCTACGGTTCTAGTGACGTTTACGGGGATGTACTATGAGGGGGCTGTTACTGGACGTCACAAGCAGAGGTGCGCAAGATTTAAACCGCTAATAAGCCGCGGGTGTCTGTTTGTACATTTTAATTGGAAACGTTACTCGTTCGCTCTCGCGCGTCCATCTTTCGCGATTATTTTCGCGGTAAAAATTCAGAGAGAATTACATCGAGACGCACCTCTGTTTCCGAGCGAGGGAGACAGGGACGATGCTATTGTCCGTTGCTCAGGAGTTGGCGAGGCAGCTCGATTGGCTGTCGCTTGAGGAAGAGCGTGAACGAGATAGAGCGAGAGAGCAATAACTATTGGCGTAACGTTAATTCTTGGACACCGGAGACACGACAGAGCCGAGTCACACTATTCAGACATCGGAATACGATTATGTAGTGTGATTGCTCGAGAAAAGGGAGAACCTGGGGAGGTTTAGGCGGAGCAAGCGTAATCCTCCTCTGTTCCCTCTAGTTTGTAGGTGCGTCGACAACTCCTGAGCAACGGTCAATTCTAGTCCAAGTCTCGGAGAAACGGGATTCTAAAGGCGTTCGAGGCAGGCATGATGCGGAATTCGTTTCCTGGGGATTGGATAAACTGCGTAGAGCCACTGCCTGCTGCCTTGGTCGCCACTTCGCGACCGATCTTGCGAACAGTATCCGCGAAACGTCGAATTATTGACAATCGGAACGGACAACATCGCGCCAGAGAGTAAGAAAGCACATTTCTACCAAAAAAATAGTAATTTTTACAAAAATACTTTTCTCGATTGATTTCAATTCGGAGCTAGAAGTTTCGGTGATGGTCGAACGAAGACGACGAACGACAAAGGCAGCAGGCAGGAGAAGGGCGTTTAGTGGTTCGTTTTCTTTCAATTTCTTTTTTTTTCAACGTTTCTTTTCATTTTTTTTTTTTTTTTTTTGTAGACAACGACCAAGCGAAAACGTCCCGGTCGCCGCGTTATAAAAGATACCGCGGTAAGGTCAGAACGTCGCGCCAGCCAGCCAGCAGAATTCTAAAAAGTGGTAGTGCTTACTGTGCGGAGAGGTGGGGTGGAGTGGGTGATGGGGTTGGGTCATATTTCCTGGGGCGGCCGCGGGACAGATGCCGCCGCTTTACGAACTCGGCGTCGTCCACCATCCAGAATGACCCAAAGTCGTCCTCATAGCGCACAAAACACTTGTGCAATGATAGATTGGTGCGGATCGCGTTCTGTATACACAGACAAGACCACCAAGAAATAGAGAAAAAGAGAGTAAAAAAGATAAAGGTTGTTTCTGCTTGTTGAATTTTCTTTCGCATTGTTTTTTTTTTTTGGTTTCGGTTTCTTTCTTATTATTTGTTACGTCGTTGAGGGGGGTTCTTTTTTGTTTTTTTTTTTTTTTTGTCCAGTCCTCGGAACGCATTCAACGCTTTCCCGTCGAGGAATTCCGTCGTCCACACGAGAAAGATCGTCACGTGACGCCGTGACTCTCGACGCCCCCCGTGAGCCGTCGTCGTCGTCGTCGTCGTCGTCCTCCTCGTCTCTTACACTCGGAGGGATCTCGACGCCGACGCCGTCGTGGTCGGTATATATTTTCGACGTTCCAAAATAACGTACAGTAACAAAGACAGCACAGACTCGCAAATAGTAAGGGCGGGGCAGAGAGATACAGAGAGTGAAAGAGAAAGAGAGATAAAAAGAGTGAAAAAAGTAAAAGTAAATACGTAGAAAGGTGGCTGCTCCTCTCACTACCTGACCAATGTGCAATTCTGCGGTTCTCGGTCTGCACTGGGGCGCATCCCGCATCCGGATCCCGGGTATTCGAGACTAGACTCTGAAGGGGGGAGGGGCCAGAGACATTGGCCCTCGCCAATTCTCGATCGGTTAGTCGCTGCAAAGCCCACATGCTTGTTAAAAAGCACACACCACGGGTTTTCTGCGTTTTTTTTTGTTTTGTTTTTTCGACTACGTGTTTCCTTCCACACGAGCAAACCGAGGGCGGCTCCCTTCTCGCAATCATTCCCAGCCTCCTTCTCCTCGTCGTACCGTCATGATCTTCGAAAACACGCACACGCGGCCCAGTCACGCACCCACAGACTGACGGCTACCATCGCACACGAGACGGGCAAGTATAAAACAGTCCACACCCACACGGGACCAAACACAATACTAAGCCAGCCTGCCGAGTACAATTTCGAAGAAGTAGTTGGTTTTGTTCAAAGGGATGTTTCAAAGTCGACAGCCACGTTCTCGCGTGTGAAGATTGTTTGGGATCAAAAGACGTTTGTGTCTGAAAGCAGTGGTGTCTTGTTTGATGTGAAAATTTGTGTTTGGTGTGGATGACTGTAATTATAATAAAGATACGAAAGCTAGGTGTTTTAATTTGTTTCAGTGCTGTACAGTCAAGTGGTTCTGTTTTAGTCGCGTACAGATCGAAGACCCAGTCCCGCATGTGCCAACGTGTGCCAACGTGTGCCAAGGTTCGAGCACATGTGCCTTGGGTCGGTGCTTCGACCTGAACGCAGCTCCATGCGTACTTCATATTGAATTCTATCTTTGTAGCTATCGTAAAATGAATTCAAAACTGGATGAGAAGAAAATCTGACTGAAAGATACTATAGTTTACCTAAAACATCAATTTTGTAAGTAAACAAATTTTTAAAAGAAATCTAGAATCTAGAATCTAGAATATGCTATAACAAGAACTATTCTTTTGAAAGTACGAGGTATTTAAAGCGTTTCAACTATACACAGTGTGTCTCCAGGGTTCGCGTACACGCGGAAATGTGGCTTTACTAATACAAGATGGCGGAATTGCAACTCGGGAGGCTCGGTGTTAGCAGACAGACGTGTTACAGACAAACGACGCAAGCGATCGGCAATACAGATTAATACGGCGAGACAGGTGTATGAGAAAAAAGAAACGGTTTTATATATACACACACGCGCACAAATCTATACGTATGAATGCGCACGGATAACATACACAAAAAACAGGGTAATAGAGACATGTAGATATGTATATATATTAAGAAAAAAAAGAGATACTATTGTGAAGGCAGGGTACGATGTATAGTCTGTACGAGAAACACATCGTAATGTAGATAAATGATGCACAGAGCAGCGTGCGTGTATGTGCGTATACATACATACGAGGCTTGCACACGCGCGCGCGTCGCGCACAGTAAACCCTTATCAATAGACACATATATAAGTATAAATAGCTATGAAAAATACGTGAATATAGAAAAAAAGCTATATATATAGATATAAATATACGTATAAAAAATAGAAATTTTTAAAACACTATCAACTAGGAATATATAAATATATACATAAATGTATACGATAAATATTAATGTATACATATATATAAAAAGGTATGTATTCGAAAAAAAAAAAATGTAAAAATATGTAAAGACGTATGTTGAGATATATATATACATATATATAAAAAAGATTGTAAAAAACTGGCAGTATAAACATGAGGAAGGGGTACGGGGGGTGGGGGAAACGGAGTTATAGCGGTACGAGTATGTAATAAGAGTAAAAAGCGATCGGGTGAGTATGTAGAATACATATAAATATATATAAATATCTATGAATATGTAAAAAGACACAGATAGAAAGAGTAAGAAATATATAGAAATATTAAAAAACGGGGATATATCTCGTTGGCGGTGGAAAGGGAATGTTGGATGAGGGAGAAGAAGAAACGGGAGTGCGACCAAGGGGGCCGATAATTTTCTGAAATGGTGTACTTATCCACTTGGGGTGCTGGTGGTGGTGGTGGGGGGCGAGGGGGGCAGGATGATATTTCATACGGTGATATCGAAGAGAAAAAGAGAAAGATATATATATATCTATACATAATACCGTAAATATATCTATAATAATAAAATGGAGTGAAAGAGAGAAAGAGAGTAAAAAATCGCGGTTGTAAAATTTGTTTTTGAATTGTCGGTGGGACGAGAAGGGCAGGGGGCGGGGGCGGGGCAACGTACCCGGTCGTGCTGCAAGCGCGTTGAGGACGTCTCTTGTAAAACTCCACTTCGTCCACCGTCCATACGGCGCCTTTCACGTTTTCGACTCGCATGAAACATTTGTGGAGAGACAGGTTGTGTCGCACTGCGTTCTATACAAAATAATACACAGACTAAATAAGCAACGCAAAAAA